CTACTACTTCTTCTTCTTCTACCACTGTGGTTACCCGGTTACCCAGCCGAGACGGAAGTGCTACATAGAAGGTGTCTAGGGTTACACTACCCCCCTTTTTTTGGCACAGACTTGTACATGCCCGCCTGGTTCTCAGACTACAGTACACCCTAAACCCTGAACCCCTAAACCATAAGTCCCTGAATCCTAAACCCCTATACCCTTTTTGAGCCCAGGCTCTGATCATCGCGGCCACACATGTGCTCTGCACAACATGCAGCGACTGATCTCTGGAAGTTGAAGTACATTTGCAAGAACACATTTAACCCCTACACCCCAAACCCTAAACCCCTAAATGCCCTCATCCTATACACCCCAAACCCTAAACCCCTAAGTGCCCCTACATCCTACCATCACCTGCTCTTCAGGGCCGGGAGGCTCCATGACGCTTCCGCCGAGGCTGCGCATGGTGCTGCCGAGACCAGACATGAAGGACGTCGGGGGCGGCTCTTCCTGGGCCGAAGGGGTGGACCAAAAGGAGCTCGGCTCTCCAACCATATATAATGGCGACTAATTATATTACTGATCATAATACTACGAAAAATATGCAGTTAAAAATAAGAGTAACAATAATAAAGCTCCAGTCACAGTGGGGGGTGTGCAGTAAAGCCATGAGTAGGGCAGCATCCGATGCTCATGCAACCTCCGAGAAGCTCATATTATGGTCAGCCCGGCGAAACTCAAGCCTACCGAACCCCAATCCCCCAAGACCCAGCAAAGCACACCTACTACACCTACACCTTCATCCAGAAACCCACAAGCACTCCGAAGGCAATCCCACCGACGGGAGAAGTCCTCCACGGCATCAGGACGCTCGACTGTCACCAGCACGGGTCTTGGGCCCAGTTTCCTCGGTAGACTTGCTGGGCTCTGCTGCCGCAGGGCTTTCGAAGCCCTGCACATGTATGAACACACATGACCTGACACGTGTGTGCAAACAGGTGTATGTAAATGTACATGGCGAGCAAACACACACACACATGCACATGAGCAATCTACATAAGCAAATATATGTATGCACCAAGAAACAAAACCCAGTCGCTTCATGTGTGTTGCCTGGGCGGCTCGCCTAATCACAGCATGTGCGCATGTGCTGGAGGAGGCTCTGCACCAACGCATCCCAGGCCAGCTCGGTCACGTCCTCCCCGCCGACGAGGATGAGCTGATCCTTGGCTGTCGGAATTCAGAAAATCCGGGACGGAAGTGCTTTTGGAGCAATACGGCGGTCCCGTCTCCGTTCTAGCTGGGGTTCAAAGGCCAAAGCTTCCCCTGGCCCTGCCCCAGCAAAAGTAGACAACCCGAAAGCATCCAAGCAGAAAGATCAAAAGAGCGCTCAGCAGCTCCCTTCTGCAGATCTCTGTTGTAAGCCAGGCCAGTACTGTGCACCTGCCATCGTCTCACGCAGCTAATTTCGGGTTCCATTGAGCTTTTCCAAGGATTCCTGGGTCGTCTCCAAGTTCCTGCTCGAAACCCACAGTTCGGTTTTGTTTATCACAGCGTTTTAGCTCCTTGCGGGAATGGAAGCGAAACATATACCCCTTTCTGCCCAGAGCTGTACCTCAACAAACCCCTGAGCAAAGAAATTCCACGATCGAAGCTGCATCCCGACCATATCCTGGTCTGAGTGCCCGTATCGGCGAATCGGGGGCCTCCGAATCGGCGCAACCCAAAATGCGAGAGTACTGGAGGGATCCTTGATCTCCCAAATTACAAACAGGGCCTGCTCCTAGGGTGTCGGCAGAAAGAAAGCTCGCAACACCGGGGCCTAGGTGGCATTCGCAGACGGTTGAGGTGCGGTATCTACCCATGTCACATACTGCAGTGGTGGTTTCCAGGAACAAAACTCAAGGTACCTGAATCCTCAAGCTCCGTAAGCTACCTTAAGCCTACGAAATTATCCTTGCTAGAGCCCCTTCGCATGTTCTAGTCGAGGATATTATATAATATTATGCTCTATTAAACTCTATTACACGGCACCCTATTATAACTAGTGAAACTAGTGGCCCACAACCAAGGCCCCCTCCTGCTCGATGACGAAGGGTGCTGCAAGCTCCTTGAACTCGATGCCCAAGGACCCCTTCCTTGGAAGGTTGGGTTTCTGGGCCTGGGGATTCTGCGGTGACTCGTAGAGAGGGCCTCTATGCGCTCATGGCTCACTGTGGTGGACACGAAGCTCAGTGGATGAGAGCGTCGGATCACGACGGGCTTCCGCGGTTTCGGAACCACCTTTTGCGACCCCAATGTCGCGAAACGCTGCGCTGCAACACTGCAGCTGAATTCGAACGGAAAACCCACTGTACCGGCGGCTCCGGGGAACCCGGAGTTGTACTCCGAGCACTGTCCTGGGTGTAGTGCACTAACAATCACAAGTAGTGCACATGGAGCAACTCTGAAGTCGATCTAAGCGAATGCGGCCTTTTCCGCACACACCAATGCTCGGATCTCTCCCTCTCTCTCTGCCTCCCCCAGCGTCTGTTTGGCCTGTTCCTTCGTCCTCGCGTGACTCGCGCGCATACATCGCACGTCGAAACTACCATGCTGATACTCCTGCGCTGCTAAATGGCCGAGTCGCTGCTCGAAAACAAGGTCTATCCTTGGTGTGCTTCTTGCAGTTGGGAGATCGCACAAGCAATTTCCAGCCTACCCGTTAAGCTCCAGCAGTGAAGTCTATCTTGGGACTGGCTTGCAAACAGAAGCGGCTCTGCTGAGTGACATCTTCGGGCATGCTGGACTGCAGCATCTTGCTGCGTCAACTCCAACACTCTTTCGATCCTCTGCCAGGAGGCCGTCGCAGCGGTGGCTGTGGGACCTGCGAGCTATATCTGCAGCGTATCCAATCTGCTTGTGGCTGGAGCCCACACACCATTCACACAAGTAACAGCGGCAATTAGAGGTTCTAATGATGATTCAATGATGATAACAATAATAGTAAGAATCATAGCAACAATGTTAGTGCAGATAATGGTTCACACTGATCAGAAGTTCGCAAAGACATGGGGCTTTAGCCATGGCACTTGAGAAGCCGCGAATGAATAGGTCTTGAAGGGGGCGGGTACTGTGAATGATTTTGTCGCAGCCCAAGTCATGCCACAGGAATGCAGACTCTGTCTTAATCTCCGGGCATAGCGTGGGGCCCCGACATTTCGGGACGGCCTTTTGGCCCTTTTGTGTTTACCCAACATACCGTATGGGGCCGGAGTGAACACCGATAGTGTTCCTCAGGCTTCCTTAAAGCAACTTTACGATAGTCTACCTAAAACCCTATTCTAACTACTCAGGCCCCCACAATAGATAGCCCTATAATGGATAGTAGCGTTGCTTCCAAGACCGGGGCTTCAGAGCAAGAATCTCCCAGCTCTGGTTGTCGGCACTTGGGCTTGGCACACTACGAATCTCGGACCGCCAAGGGAAAAAACCCGAAACACCTATAAAATCTAGCCCCAAGAAAATAAGATTAATAAGAATAATACCATCAATAACAGTAGTAACAATAAGAAAAGAAGAATCATAATCTAATGCGAAGAATAACATTAACATATAAACAGCTAAAGAGGCCTCAGACAGACGTGGCAAAGGCTCCACAGTCGACTCCGGAGCGATGTCGGGAGCCACGGAGGGCTGCACCAACGGAGAGTCGTGGTCGAGCATCATGGCGCTCTTAGGGTTTTCTTGTATGGGGTTCAGGGGCTCTAACTGAGGTTTCCGGCGCTCAAACTCGAAGGTTTAGTGATCATGGCGCTCTAACAAAGGCTTCCTGTACTGAGCGTGTAGATATTCATGCTTAAGAATGCTGGAAGAAGGCTTTGGATCATGGCTTCAGAGTTATCCCAGCTGAGGGTTTGGGGTTTAGTGGTCATGGCTTGAGAGGAGCTTCGAGACAGTGAAGTCTGCATTATTACGGGAGTCGTTTCGGCCGTAGCTCTCATAGCTATGATAATTTTTGGACGAACATGTGGCAACTGCGCTCTGTGCTTCTCTGGCGATCGATTGGGCAGGTTCTTGATTTGTGGTGCGGCTGAAGCGAAGGTTGAGAGTTCAGGATGTGTATAGTACCAGTCCCACATAAATCGAACTCTTCACATCTCCTAAGAGGATACTGTGCCCGCTGTATTGAGTCTTGCGAATCCCATAGCCATAGCTGTTCTGTGACGGCTGGCGACTGGAAGGCTGCAAGCCTGGAGCGACGTTCAGGCTCTCACCATGGATGAAGAGCGAAACGCCGGGTGATTTGCTAAGAGCGTAATCAAGCAAGTGCGCAGCATCCTTCATGTCCGCAAAGCCGCAACATGGCAACACATTGTCCACGATGGCTTTTTTGCTATGCTGTGCTTGCCGCTTACTGTCTCTGTTTGCTGCAAGCATTCGTCTTGGCCTTCTGCCCGGTATTTTCAAAGTCACTGTAAAAGGACCAGAATGCTAATGACCATCATGTCGATTTTGGACCGATTGGGGCAGACAACTGTTTGGTTGGCTTATGCGACTTATGACTATCCCTACTAGTGTTGCTCGTGTAAGCGCTATGATTGTTTTTACTCGCACTATTCGTATATGACGGTCTTCGTACATAGTATGATTGGTTCACGTAGCCGCTTCTAAGAGTATGCAGGTACACATACTTGCATTTATCCTTTCAGCTCTGTCCAGCCATGGGTAACTAATGTACACGATGTCCTGCGGAAGCTGATAACCAACCACGCCCATCCGACCGGGGCTCCGTGCCAAGACAGGTGAAGGCAAAGAGCTTGGTGCATCAAACCTGATAATTGGAAAACGTTCAATTACAGAACACCATGGGTCCAGCATCCCGTTGATCCTCACTAGTCGAATCCTGCCCTAAATACCCCTACAATCTAGTGCATGTATATATATATATACACACACATATTACTTAGCATACAATATAACACAGCATAATACGAAATAATACGAACCCCTCAACTCTCCCTAATTTCAGAAGCCGCACGCGCCCCCAGACAACGCACGTATCTGTTCCCCAGTCTGCAGGCGACCGTTTCGAGACTCCTCTGCAACTGCTGAGGAGGCCGAAATGGGAAAGCAGAGTGTACAGGACTTTTTGAAGACTTGATCTCCGGCTTAACCTGAAAAAGTGACGCTGAATGAGACTACTTCTGAGGACATTGAGAATGCAAAAACAACTGGCAGCATGAATATGAATACAAATCATCATCCACTCAACGACGCAGAAATCAGCAGCCGTCTCCTGTTCATGAAGCTATGGGAACTAGACCTACAGGCGTGCCAAAGGCATCGCACCTCGGGCTGCCTTTCACCAGCTATGCAGGGGCTTGGTTTAGGTCCAGGGCAGAACTACGGTAGCAAGACCCATCGCTGTTAGTTCCCCGTGGTTCCCATTACCCCTAGCATTCTCAAAGCCAGTTTGCGATGCTGTCGGGACATAGGGACTACAAGTGACTAAAAGGGAATAGCAGTAGCAATCGTGCCTGCTCTCCTAAACAATGGCACCCGAACGAGACGGAACCTTGCTCTTGGCCAGAACACGTGGCCTTGTGCGAAACCCCCAACTCCAAACTCCAAAAAAAGCCGGAGGTCCTGCCTTGAGCAGTTGAGTTTGTGTTCTTTTCTTTTTGTGCTCCCTTGTCCAATATCCAAGGGAACCCAAAGTGTGGCCTCGGGGTTACCTAGCGATTACAGTACCAAGGTCACCTTCTCTAGTACCCAGTATAGTTGGGACGAGGAAATCAGCTCGAAGGCATGGGTGGCCATGAAGAAGTTCTCTAAACCCCCCTTTTGAGACCCTAAGCTGCCTGAACCCCCGAAACATAAACCCTTAAACCCTAAACCCCAAAACCCTAAGAGCTAAATAAACCCTTAAACCCAAAACCCCAAAACCCTAAAAGCTAAACCCTGAAACCCTAAACCCCAAAACCCTAAAACCTAAACCCTTAAACCCTAAACCCCAAAATTGCATTCGTCTTTTCCATGCTTCCATCCTCCGGCTCGCGACTTTCGCATCTCTGGGCCAGCACAGAAAACAGCATCAGCAGCAGCTCTCGGCTCTGGCCCTATGCTTTGGGAGCTATGGTTTAGGGTTTAGGGGAGCTTCTAGAATAGAACCACGGATTTCGACACTTTGGCACTCAAAAACGGAAGGATTGTGTGGAAATGGGTAGGGTGCGTAATGAACAGGGGGGCATGACACGAAACAGTGCAAGACTCTCGTTGAAGTTGTCAGCAACGCAGGGCAAACATGAGAAGTCCGATTCCTCGAGGTGTCTGTCTGCCAGCTGCTCAAATGGGACTTTCCGAAAGTTAGGGTACCTTATTTTGGGGTCCTTATAATAAGGATCCTGCTATTTAGGGTACCATATTAGGGTCCCCTATTTTCGGAAACCCCCTAAATTAGGATCAAATCGGCACAGCCAGGCTTGCACGGAGTCTGCTGGCATTTCAGGCCGTGCTGTACAAGGCAATCAATCCCGTCTGTGCTCTACAACGTGACGGGCCATTTCCGTGACGGATCTCCGAAGCAAAAGGCCGGGGTATATACAACTAGAACTATACAATCACACATCCACCAACGATAAATAAATAAACGAATATACAGTTATATATATAACATACATATTGTGTATATATATATATATAAGTACATACATATATATATATATATATACATATATATATTTATATGTATATGTATATATACATATACATATATCAGGCAAAATCATGAGAGGATATTGCTAAGTACTCAGACTTGATTCTACATTGCCAGCTTTTTGGGACAAAGCTCGGCACCAGCACAGTGCGGGACTCGTGTGGCGCTGCACTCTGGAGTGGCATATACTGACATCACAACCCCACATGTGCACTCAAAGAATCGCAACCACTGTCTGTGCTGTGCCGTTGCGAAGTCCATGCTGAATTGCTACAGTAGTCCACATTCATGTTTTGAGTCATCCGCATTACTGGTGGGCAATACAAGTCCTTCTGGAATAATATGTATCACTGCTCTCGCGACACAACTCTGGAACAATCAGGATGGAGCTATAAATTATGGCTTTCTTGCCATGCAAGCGCCTCAGGAATGGATGCGGATGAAGGCCATGCGATGCGAGTCGCACACCCGAGTCGGCATAGGAATGTGAACAAGAAAAGAGAAAAAAACGACACGAATTCCAGGGAAGAAAGGCTTGGCCTGTTCCTCGAATTCGTACTTTACGAAGCTCTCAGATACCCCTGGCCTTGGCTATGCTTTGCACGTATCAGACACATGTGGCAGAGAAGTCGAAAGCAATGCAGATTGTCAGAAGGCATCTCGGGATTGTAGCGTGGCTTTGGACTTGTGAAAAGGAAGAAACATTCCAGCTGAAACCCTCAAGCCAACCGTAAACACTGCAAACCCCGAGGCCTTAAACCGCCAACAAAGCCGACTGGATCAACCCATGCCCAATGCAGTCTTCAGAAATTCGTAGGCTCCAGCGGCAACATTCAATCCATGATCTAAGATTAGGCAAAACACATCTCGGGCACAACATTCAGGTCATGATGAAGAGCAAGCATCTTCATCTCGTACAAAGCTACAAATGCACACGTGCAGAGATGTACATTCGCTCATGCATGCCAAACTTCGGTTCTTCCACGGCATATTATCCGCTATATTTTGTTGTATGGGAGATGGATACTTTATATACTATGTTTTACATGTGTATATATATATATGCTATTCGAAATCCGAGGCCACAGCGGCTTGCCATCAAGTGCTGGAAGGCTAAAGTAGCCTGAAGGCAATGCAGTGAATGTGTGTGTGCGCATGTATACATATATGCATACATACTCCCTCCCCCCGACCTACTAACCAAGATACATACATGGTGCCGCGTCGATGCCCCCCTCTGCCCCTCCCCGCCTCCCTGCAAGGCCCAGCTCAGGCCTCTCAACAGTGCAGTTTAGTCACAGGGAGGGTGCTCGTCCATGTCTCCATCCTCGTAGTTGTTGACGCTTTTAAGCCCATCTGCGAAACCGTCTGGCCGTTTTTCGGATTAAAACCGCCGGCGCCGCACCCTTCCCCCACACAAGTGAACACGATATCCTGCCTGTTTTTACACAGGCTTGTTGGAGCTCGCACGGCCGGGTTCCGCGCAGCACGCCGCACTCGTGGCTATATGCGCAAGGCTAAGTACGCACGATCTTCACTATCTTGCGAGCTAATCTGTCGGACACGCCGTTGCAGGAGCTGATAAGCTAATGATCCTGGTAGAACGCGTCATGAAGTCGAAGTATAGAAGGACTTTGCAGAAGATCGTCATGATATCCTGCCCCAAAGCCAAATCCCAAACAACACCTAAGCCTCAAGCCCCAACACGGGGAACAACAAGGACGACCACAGCACGCGGGCGGCTGCAGGGCACCATGCAGGGGAGAAACCACACCCAAGCACGGAGGGGGCGGCAGCGAGGGGATTTCATGGGGTGAGGGGGAAGTGGAGGAGCCATTCCGGGCGGAAGGAGCGTAAACACACGCCATTGTGCATCAGCCTTAATGCGATACATTCAACAGCGGCCAGGGCACAAGCCCATGAATAAGTGTGACAAAAGCGTACAAAGACCGAGACAACATAGCGATTTGTCGTCCGTTCGCTCGTCACTGTTGTTTGTTCTTTGCTCGGG